ATAGATCAAAAACTTGTCAAATCAAAAGTTACTTCCAAAGAAACTTTATAGGAGTGTATTAGAGACACTTGGAGTAAAATCCCAAAGAAAAGTTTGATTAAATATGTTACAACAATGCCTGAAAGACTGTCTTCAGTTATTAAAGCAAAGAGGGACACACAAAATATTAACTGTTTGTTGAACTCAAGCACTTCTGCTGTGTTTCGTTGTACTAGATATGAAGATTGACAAAATTTTGATGTTTCACCTGTGATTTACCTTCCATTGTTCTTTGAAAATAGCCTGAAATTTAATTTTTGACTTTGTCCTAACACTTTTGCATAGTATTGTATGTTGGTTCACTGTTGAATGAAATTCTTACACTTTGTTGAGCAGCAAGGTGGGCAAGGCTATTGGTTTTGACTGACAGCTCTGGAAGTCCAGGAGAGCCAAAGAGCAAGAGGTAAATGTTGGCACTACAGCTATAGAAAACCAATGGAGTTAAAAGTCAGGCAATGCCTAGCCACTGACTTGAGGGAGCATGACAAAATGTTTGGTAATCAACCCATCTCTGTCAGGGCTAGTTGGAGCTTTCTACCTATGAGTGAGGTACAAGGGTGAGAGATTGAGTTACCGATTGACATATTAGCAGCCAGAAAACTAGTAAATCTTGTGAATACATCAAGCTTTCCAAATGAGACCACCACTCCAGCCAGTGCATAACAACTTTGTTCTGGTAAATGGCCTTAGATTTAGACATGAGTAGAGAGGCAAATCCTTTGCTGTATCTAGGAGATGATGCTCAAAGAATGAAAGTTCTTATCTACAACCTTGGTTCTAACATTGAGATGGACATACTGTAGAAATTTTCAGTCTTTTTTCCTATTTAACTGGAGAACTGATGTTCTGCTGGAAAGTTATCTGATGGCCTGATCAAGTCCACGAAAAGTGCACAGCATGAGTGTATGTAGCATAGGGAATAATAGTACCTCTGTATATACAGGTGGTTAAATTTAGGCCAATTCTACTGCATCAGTGTAATAGTTATAGAGCCCACACATAAAATTGTTTTATGTCCGGAAAGCAAGCACCATTAGCTTGAGCATTTATCTGTACAAAACAAAATGAAGTTCTTGTGTTGTTATGGGTGGTTGACTATACAGCTTTATGCTGGAATAGTCATTGGTGTGGTAAACAAAATGGAAGTGACTGAGACTAGTACTGTGTCTGAAAGGAAGTAGGAAGCTATTAACACATCTAAAATCTTTGGTAGAAGACTGGACCCAATGCAATAAAAGCAACTCAGTAACTTGTTGGTTGAGCAGGCCAATGTATCTCTGGGACCATATATCCAATTGGGTCAAACAACAGTGACTTTTACCACATAGATACAGTTAATGCACATCCTATCAAGCAACTGCTGTGTTGGACATCCTGGAGAATGAGATGTGACCATTGCTGAGATACAGTGGATACTGAAGGACAGGATCATACAATCTTTTGATTAGCACTTTTTATCACCAATAGTGATAGTCAGAAAGAAGGAAGGTATTTCAAGGTACTGTGTTGATTTTAGATGGGTGTATGCAACAAGTTGCATTGATGCCTTCCCTTTGTTATTAACAGATTAATGTCTAGATGTGTTGGAAGGTTCCAGTTCATTAAACACATTAAATTTGGCATCCAGATACTCACAAATTGAGTTTAATGACAAGAGAAGAATTAAGATTGCTTTTAGCATGTATTGAGTTCCATGTCATGCCATTCAGCCTGTATAATAAGCCCACCACACTTAAGAGGTTGATAAAGCTTACATTAAAGGGGCTGAAATGGGTGACATGCCTGATCAGCATTGATATTGATGATGTTTTGGTATTTAATTCGACATTCAAGTCTGTGGCTAAGAAACTGAAACCAGAAAATATGTGCTCATGTACACAGAAGTGGAATTACTTGGTAAAGATAGTCTTTACCGACACTGCTAAGACAGCATTGATAAGAAACTGAACTCAACCAAAGTTTGCAGTTTTCTTGGTTTTGCATCATATTACTGAAGGTTTGTGGACAACTTCTCCAGGATATCAGCATTATTGTCTGCTCTCAACAAAATTGAGGTGCACTTTAGATGGACTGAAGAATGTAAACAAACATTCCAATCCCTGTAGATTGCTTTAGTGGAGCCTCCAGTGCTGACATATCCATGAAAAGACAATGGTATGCTGATGCGAGTAATAATGAAATTGGAACAGTGTTACTGCATTTCCAAGATGGAATAGAAAGTAGTTGTTTATGCTAGTCATGCATTAATGGCTCATGATACTGTATAATGAAGAAAGAACTACTCTTAGTTGTAGTCCTTGTAAAACACTATCCCTACTATTTGTATGGTAGGAACCTTCATCACCCAGGTGGTCCATGCTTTGCTGGAATAGTTAATGAATTTTAAAGGTATGATAGCACACTGTATAACATTTGCAAAAATAACATGACTTTGTCATAGAGCATAGCCAGGACCTGCAACACAGAAATGAGGATGGACTGTTTTGCTATACAGTGAAATCATGTTTGAATGTAGAATATCCTGATCCCTGACACTATGTGGGAGCTGAAACAGTTTCCACCATAGAAATATCAAGCCATGAAGTACAAGATTTCACTAATGGATGAATACCACAGTTAATGCTTTGAGAGTTCTGGAAAGGGCAACTGAAGTACATAGATCTAGTGTGGGCAGTCCTTGTTATGCAGCAGGGTAAAGCTCTGCTAGCACAAATTGATGGACATAAGAATTCACAGACTGAGAGAAGTTGTTACATATTCATTGCCATCTGCTACTTCACAAAC